ACTAAGTTTCTTTAATCATGTAGATTAAGAAGATGCAATCAGATAACACCTAGTACCTGTTTGAAATTTTTATCTGTGATACCTATATATATAAAAGCTAGAAAAATTCTTAACATAATTAACATATCTTTGAACAACATAATTAACATATCTTTGAACAAATCAAGATTTGAATATAAACTCAAATAAGTACAGCATTTGGCCAAGCGCAACAAGCTAAGTTAGCTTTTTGAAATTAGTATGGTGAGCAATTAATATGATAATTCATATCATCAATACAGCTATGGAAAAAAGAAACTCTTGCATAGACTGTAGCTTAAGAAATTCATATATCAAAAGCCAATACATGAGACTTTACTACTAACGGCCCCATTAAGCATGCAGAAACTTTAATTTTAACATCATACATAGCATGTGGAGTAATGGATAGCGGCTTGGATTGAAGAATCGGAGAGCCGAGCTCGAATTTCAGTCAAATTCATTACATTCACTTACATTAATACCCTTGGTAAAGGCACAAATCCTCTTCTCCCCCGTGGGTAAATAGCAAGACAGACAGGGTTCTAGAGTCTTGGATGGCAACTGGTTTACCACAGAAAGAAATGGCAACCTACTGTGGGGAAAAAATATGCCTCGTCATGTATAGAACGATACATGATCGCCTACCCATGTATCACGCATGGCACATAACTGACTGACATGGCATGTAATAATACTGACTATACAGTATGAAGTGACCTCAGTGCAATTAGGATCTATGAAATGACCAAACTGAGGATGTCCACTATAGACAATGGTGACTTGACTTTATTTGTAGCAAAGAATTTATGGTCAGGAAAATTTTTTGAAGACTAAGTCTATATAGTTAAACCACTTTACAAAAGGTCAAATTCCATGTGAGACATGACAAAGAGCTGCATTTACTACATCCCATGCAGTTGTGTTAATTAATACAAAGGAGAATGAAGCACCTAGGATAATCATTTTAAAAGCATTGAAAATACGCCTCATTATAAAAAGGTTTTATCTTAACATTTAATGAAAGCAAATTAACAGTGATAATTGAATTCAAGAAGAAACTGATTATTTAGAATGTTTATCTGGAGAATATGACCTAAACTCGTTCATAAGCTTCAAAATTTGGTTGAACAGAGACAGGCAGGAGAAAAAAAAAAGTTATCTGCACCACCTTCTCCGGTCATCATAATTTTGACAAATTTAAATAGTTTAATTTTTTTTAATCATTTTCCCCACCAAGCAAGGCAATAAGACACAAGGTGTTACCAAGTGTGAGAGAATATGAGAAAAAAAAAACATTAATAAGGAAACAGAACAATAAAAGAACAAGAATAAGAATAATGAGAGAAGAACGTTATCTGGCGTACCAGGTGACTGGGTGCATAAGATGATCTTCCAAATTTTCAAGTGAAAATGTAGGTTTCAGGCTATATTCGCTTTACAAGATAACTTACCCCCAAATCATATTTTAAAATATATTGTACTGAATTTATTAAATTCAGTAAGCATATACTTTCATTTCCCTCAAATTCTAATTTAAAAAAAAAAAAAAACAAAAAAAAGTTGGGGGTGATATTGTCTTAGTACCACAATCTACAATACCTCAGGAGTTTGTGCTGTTTATTGTAAGCTATTATGGTAACCTGAATGACTTTCCCCACTAACCATCCATTGTTCTCAAATGTGATTTTTAAACGGCTTGTTGAGACACACATCCAGTTGTGTTTTGTTCAACATCATTGAAAAAAAAAACAAGTAGGCGAGGCAGTCTTCCCATTACAAATAGCGCCTACATTACAAACAAAGAGTAGTAGTATGGAGTTGAAATTTACATGAGTTTTTATTGCAAGCAGAGCTAAAGGAACGGACAACATTTGTCTTCCCTGCAAAGTCAGCTTGGTGTCAGCTAATAAAAAAATAAAAAAAATAATTGCCTCCAAACATCAATGTGGTTAGTGCTTTCAACTTGGAGACAAATTTGCAAAACTTTTGGCTATTAAATAAAAATCAGTTTTATTTAAAAAAAAAACAAACAAAAAAAAAAAAACAAATGTTTGATAATTTAGCTCTGCAGAATTTTTTTTTTCTATATTTTGCAGGGACTATTTTACATCATGCTGTAATGAAACAATACCTAATAAAGTGTGATTTGTCACCATTGAAAACAGCTAATGCTAAGAAACAGATTCTTAAAAGCAATATACCATTTTTGTTATGGAGAAACTATTTATTAGCCTTATTTAACAAGACTTGGGTTTTTTTTTGTTTATTCCTTTTAATGTAGGACAAAATATTTATTCTTTATATGTTTAGAAATTAATAATAATAAAATTAATTTGTGTAACATTAATGAATATCATTAATTAGGCAATATATACAGAACTTCATACCTATTTTAGATGTAAGTTCGTTCCTATTTCATGAAATTTATATTAAATTATAGGCAATAAAAACAAAAACATCCCTAACAGATACAGCAAAATAGGTGATATGATAGTGTAATAGCAAAATATACAGCTGCCTTACAAAATTAAATTTATAGCTAGAAGATTATAAATTGTTTAATAAAAAAAAATTGAATTTGACCCACCAAATCTTGTTTGATTCATCCCTTTTTTATATCTTGTGCAATATTCAGGAGAAACTTGGAAATTTACATTTGATTAAGTCAACTAGGACATTGAATTGTGTGCAGACATTCAAGAACAGAAAAAAAAACTTAAGGCAAGAAAAGGCAAAGAAAAATAAACTTTTTTTTTTGATATTGCTGAGGCCAATTTATTTTCATGTTTAGCATCTGTTTTGAGCACAGGATTTACTATTAAGCCCACAAACCATTTGGAGAATTTTGACCTCCACAGAGTTAATCACCAAAACAGCTTTGTATAGATAAATTCTGGACATGCTTAGCCAAAGTTGTCCAAATAGATAAAAAGGGTTAGGAAGAGACTGTATACCCACAAGTTTTGTAGGAAGGAAGAGCTATTTGTTAGAGAATAGCAAAGTTTAGCACTTGGCATCTTACAAATATTGAGCACCTAATTAGTGAAAAAAAATTCCCTAAATGCCACTGTTCTAAAGCAAAGCAGTTAGGAGTGGAAACACACTCAAGTCATTATTATACAGCATCAAATACTGTGTATCGATCTTTGTTATTTTTTGGAAGCATTACAATAAATCTTGGTATATTTGAGGAGGGGGGAAAAAAAAAACAACATTTCTTTTATTTATAGACTTTGTAACAAAGCATTTTAAAACCGGTCTTTTCTCAGAACTGTGAGTTGACTCTTGTCCTCGTTGCTTATACAAAATAGTGGTGGAAGTGTGCATGCGTGTCAGTGTGAAAGAGATAGGGAAAACTAAAATGCAGACATTTTGAACCAGCCAAAATACCCATTTTGAGAAGGGAGGGAATATTGTAGGAGGTACATATGTAGGTAGGATTATTTCACAAGAGGAAAATGTAAAGATAATAAATTGCACAACAGTTGACAAAATCATATATATATATATATATATATATATATATATATATATATATATATATATATAACGCACACAGTAATGTCATTAAGAGAAAAAGATATAGGGAAGCTTAAGATATACACATAAAACTGAAGATAAATATCTCTAATCACGAAATAGTCATTTTTAGATTTATTCTGAATAAGAAAATGTCTTGGGATATCATTAGTTACCGAGAATAAAAATATAGAAGTATCTTTTTTTTTTTTTTTACTATTTATTCATTGACCACAGAATATATATATATATATATATATATATATATATATATACATATATATATACATACATACACACACACACACTACTATTTTGTGGATACCCATGTTTGAGTAGACACTGTATAGAAAAGAAAAAAGTGTCTACCAGTCTGTGTATTTGAGAGACTTGAGGGCACATTTTCTTTATTAATTCTCTCAAATGTGCAGGCCAGTAGGAGTAATTCCCATTGTTTTTTTTCTTTTTTTAAAAATGCTCAGACAAAGGTATCCACAAAATATCATTTGTAGTAGTAGAAAATAATATTGGATAAAAAAAATCCATTGATTATGTGTCATATTAATGAAGTGACTTTCCTTTTAACAAACCAATTTGTCTTCCAATTATCATGATATAAAATTTTGTTTTAAGAAGTGTCAGCTTTTTTGTCATGTCCCAAAGAAGCGAAACCATCACCTTCAAGTCAGAGAATAAGTCATTTGAATATAGCTCATCTTTAAAAAAAGAAAACAAAAACCCTAAAATCTATTTATTATGCTCAACTTTTAGATTTAAAAGTTTTAAAAACTTAAAAAAAAAAAAATTTGCACCCATCAAATAATGGCAGCCAGACATGGTTTTCAAGTGAAAATAGTTAAGATTTGGAAAAAGCTTCTTTCTAGCTGGCAGTTTATCACATCTTTCTTTTCTAAATGTTCTTAAAGCATTTCTGGAGATTAGGGAGCCAAGAAACAAACAAACAACAAAAAAGTTAGGTCAATAATCTACAAAGAAATGTTGGCAAAGGAATTAACAAACCAATGTCTAGGAGTTTAAACCTAAAGGCCCCCAAAGTGGCAGAGAAGAATGGAAGAGGGAGAAAAAAAAAATTGATGAAATGGTAGGGGAGGTGAGTGAAGAAATCTGGAGAACTATGCAGAAAATAAGCAGACAATTCCAATCAAATTTTTGCTTTTTATTCTTTCATTTTAACAATCTTAAGGGTTTCCTTTTTTTGTCTGTCTGTGTCGTCTGTCCAAAAGTAGAGGGAAAAAGATGGAAGAGGTCAGAACAATGGTGGTGGTGGTGGAGAAGGGATAGAAAAGAAAGAATAGCAAGAGAGAGTGAAAAAGAGAAACTGGGTGTTGAATTTCTCTTTCTTTCAATTTTTATAAAGAGTCCAGCCCAGAAAGTAAGAAAATGTGCCTTCATGGCTGATAGAGCAGCTGCGTTTTTTTTTTTTTTTTTTTTTTGTGTCTTTATAATATTAATTTGCCCACAGAAAGAAAAAGGAGGCTTAGTGGTGGAAGTGGTTGTAAATGTTGGAGGTTATTGCCAACCACAAACCTCCACATCTTCCAAGGGTCAAAGACTGTGTGGTGACCAGGGATGGGGGGGAACAGCAAGAATTGATCACTGCTGCTACAACAAGTCGTAGTAGCAGAAATTATTGTTGCGATTCTTTTGCAGGAGGTGGTGGTGGATGTTGAGAAATGACCCTGCCTCAGGCAACATACACATATTCGTCTGGCTGAGTTGAAGAACGTTCAAGATATTGTCTATCGATTAACACCTCTATACATTTCTTGATAAGACTCACACTGGGAGTGAAACGTGACTTGGACTGTTTGATTACCTGAAAAAGTAAAGTTTTCCAATAAATAAGCAAGATGAGATTTTATATATATATATATATATATAAACATTTTCTTTGATCTCAATTGAAAAAACAACCAAAAATAAACAGGACAACAAAAAACGCATACTGTAAAAATGAAATGTTTTGATACGATATTGCTTGGAGTTCAGCTTCTTTTCCCCTTTTACAAACATATTACAAACGCGTCAATTTATATAAACCATAGAAAAGTCTTTATTACAAAATTTCAGCTACTCTTACATATTACTTTCCTCAGGTGTGTCACATTTGGTAACTTTCCAAAAAGGTAGGCACCTGATGAAAGCTGAAGAGTTTTAGTTAACAAAGATGAAATATTTCCGTCTGAATTTCTGGGAGGGATCTTTGTAATAATTTAATTTTTAACCATTGTGCATTCTGGCTTTCTTCAGGTATATATCAATCCAGGTAACCTTCAGGAAATTTCAAACTGAACCCTTTATTTAATCTATAGAGTAAGTCATTCTCCTCTTGCTGTCCATTTTTTGTTCTTTTTTTTAATACTGATCAATTATTTCTTATTCCATTTCCTCCAAGTCTGTACTGTGTGGTTTACAGAAGGCGAGAAGGAACAAAGGCTGAAATACTGTGATGATAATAACAAAGATGAGGACAATAGTCCAAATCTAAATAAAGATGGAAGAATTGATCCAAATAAATCAATTTATAACAATCTCAGAAATTCAGAAATAAGCAAATTTGTTCATTTTTTTTTATTTTTTTATTTTGCTTTGTTACTTGTGCAAGTTATTTGTCAGATTATTACATCCTCTATAAAACAATTATTTAAAAACATCTACAGAACACACAATCAATAAAGTCTATTCAATAGGCCAGTAGATAATTTACAACCCAAACATATGAATTAAATCTGCTAAGTCTGTTCTCCTGTCATTTATTTTGTGAAGATTATTTCTTAATATGGCAATAAAATAACAGTTAATCTGATTACAAAGACTGGGTTTAATTTTTTTTCTTAAAAAAAATTAAATTAAATAAATTGATAAAGGATATTTATCAGTGTATTTTTCTTGCATCACAAAACAGCACAAGAGGAGAAAAGCAAAACAAGTAAGTAAACAGCATTCCCGTAAACTCTACGTCCTCCTTGAAAGTACTCATTCTTTATACACTAAGAAGGAGAAAATACATGTTGAAAACACAAATGGCATATAAAAATTAAGTGCAAGGTGACATGGATTTGTACCAACTCTTGCATAACTTAGGAGAAAAAGAATTAGAATGTTTGCAATTTGCATCTTTATACAAAGCCAGAGAAGAAAAGAAAAAAAAAAAGGAAAGAGGATGGGGAGAGACTGGGAGGATAAAGAGAAAAATAAATTTAATTCTCTTAAAAGTAAAGAACTGGACAAAATTGATTTCTTTTAAGCAAAACAAATGGTATAAATTACTTACTTCATCAACAAGTAAAATATGTCTGCTAACTTTCCTTGCTTTCATTATGCGTACTATGGCTGCCTGTAAGTACATCTTTCGGTCATTGTCAACTGACATATGTGTGTGTTCCACCTCCTAGTGAAAGAGGAGAGAAAAAAGAAGTCATGTACCTGCTGAAGTTACCATTCTATCATTACAAATATTCACTGGACATGTCAACATACATATATTGAAACACAATTATAGTTGGTAAAATTCCAATTATGATAAAGTTGCAATTAAAAGTGCTCAATACAAAGAAGAGCCTATAAAACACAAGAAAAAGGAATAAAAAGTAAAACTGAGGTGACTTGCTTCATCCTTAAAATTTAATGTTATTTAATGCTTGTTTTTTTTTTAATCATTTTTCTTAAGTAAGGGGGTAAAGCCACTAAGATGCAAGAGGTTACTGAGAGTGAAAGAGTGTAGAAAAAAACATTATGGAAAGAGGACAATAAAAGAACAGGATTTAAGAAGACCAATGGCCATTGACATTGTAATCACACTTTTGAAGAACAAAGTTGACTTGAGAGACAGTAGCCAGAAGAGAGTTCCACAAGCAAGAAGTGTGAGAGAAAAAACTGTTAGCATAAAACTCATGGCTACATCTAGCAATTTCAACTGTAAAATGATGAATCAAATAATGCACAAATTCATATCATAAAAATATTTATAGAAAAATGTACAAAGGAGCTATGTTAAAGTAGTGTGATAGTGAAAGCCAAGATGCAAAGATAGGACAAATAATATTGGATTTTCTTCTTTGGTTTTTATCAATAATTGATACATACATAATAGAAGCATCAGACCAGATGAGGCAGCAATATTTAATGCATGCACAAATGGTAGACTTATAAAGGGGTAAGTTAAATTCAGGTGAGAAAAATTGCCTAGCACAACATGGTGAACCAACTTTCCACACAGCAGACCTAACAATTGATTAAATAGAATTGTTCCACTTCATGTTAGTGGAAAACGCGAGACCAAGAAGATACAAGGAGGTTAGAGAATTCAGGAACATTTCTTACAGACTATTACAGGGATATCATCAGGTCCACATGCTTTGTGGGAATAGTTTAGAGATGATAGCAGGAACTATAGACAGAGTTATATGCATATTATGCAGTAGAAATTCAGTCCTAAGTGGAAAGTCAGGTAAAGATACTCTAGATGACTTAGGAGTAGAAATGGAAGAGGATTTACAAGCAAAACATTCTGCTTTATCATGTTTAGATGATAACACCTCAAATTGAGTGAAGAGAAGACAGATATAAGACTTATTCTTAACAGACTATTACAGAACTGCCAGTAGCCACAAGAACCAAACTTGTTAAAGGCTATATGGTGCCTCATTATGTCAGTAAACAAAGACTTAGCCTCATTTCGGACATGTTTACAATTATTACGAGCAAACACAAAGTGGTCTGTTGTGGTCAGAGTTATGCTGGTACAGCTGGAAAAACTGTTTCTGTGGGCTGTAGCAGCTGAACAGGCAGGTGTGAATGAAGAAGATTGTGGTTTCACCTGATATTTCCAAGAAGGAACAAAAGCATTGATGCCAGCTTTTACTCAAGAAGAAACCTCAATTCTCAATAGGAGGGTTAAAAATTTCATTCCAAGGGGGCATCACTGGTAACAGAAAAGAATTTTGTGAATATGAGGTTCCTGTCTAATAGACAATTCTAAAGAAATTTTAGCAGATACTACAGTGTGATCCAAATACTCAACAAGAGCCAGGAGAGGAGGAGGTAAGGAACAAATCAACTAAAGTACATCGATCAGAATAATTAAAGAAACAAGTAGGGAAATCTATTTGGCCAAGAGAGTGAGCAACAGAAAAATTGAAAGTCTAAATACCAGTACAACATCATTAACATTAGAATGATTAAGCCACTTGATATGCTGAGCATTAAAATCACCTAATACAAAGTTATTTGCAGATTAATGTAGAGAGAGAGAAAATCATTTCTATAGTCTGTTTAATAAGTTACAGTCCTGAGAAGTTATAAATGAAAAAGAAATATCTAACAGTGTTTAATAAAGAAAATTGAAAGCAAATGAAAGAATCATTCAGGGACTCTACAGACAATTCGTTTGCCATAGAAAAATCCTCCCATATGTAAACACCAAGGCTGTGCATGTTTCTTAGCCTGGAACAAAGAATTCATTGGTAGAAATAGAAGAGTTTAAATTAGTTTCCCATAAGTACTAAGGATTCTGTACTACACAAATTGGTATGAATACCATAAATATTGGAGAAAAAAAAAGTTGAGGGGGCAGATTTTTTGTTTTCTTTTAATTGTAACTGTCATGAGAAGATTATTTTAATTTTTAAGGAGAAAAAAAAGGCCAAAATAATTATCATTGTCCACTGTCTAAGGCAATACAAACTGGCTGGAAGGTGGCCAAGACTAAAGCATAAATTAGTTTAATAATGAAAATGATTACAGTATATTTCTGCATATAAGATGACCTTTAGGTAAGACGAGGTCAAAAAATATAGCAAATTTTCATGAATTTATTCCATATCCATAGTATAACATGACTGCTTGTTAATCATATAACGATGACCTTATTGGACATGTTACTTAGTATCCTTAGAAATTCAAAATAAATGAAAACAAAATCAATTCTATATTATGCTTTCCTGTTACATGTCCTCTTAAAGAGGAACCGTTGTTTTAGTTACATTTCATCATGGGATCTCTTGTGAATACTGGTTATTCTTCTTCTTCTTTTCCTATATATAATGTTACAAACAAGAATTTGATGAGTTTTAGATATACATGTAACAGGGTTATTTTATCAATATTGATAACTTGATGGGAAATAAAAAGTTTCAAATGCAACTATTGTAAAAGGATTTTTATTTGAAAAATAAAAGTTGCATGTAATTCTAAATTGTGTTATTATTTAACACCAAAATGATAATGAATCTTTAATGAGAAATGAATATTGTATTATCCTTAATGTCATTACTGCTGTAATTAACACTACCATGATGATTATTGAAAGCTTAGTGAAAGGTAAAGGTTGCTGTAAATGCAATCATAATTTGATGTTTACATTTTCTCAGCTGAGCTTGCATGGATAGAAGTCAATTTCATTAATATGGAATTATTCTTTGAATAGACAATTTATGATTAAGTTATGCCAGTAATATATAAGGTAGAAATGGTTTTATTGCTTTTATTATCAGTTTATTTGATAATGTGAATCTTTTCATGTACATTATTGGTTATTGCACCAAGGCCAAAGTTAGCCTACTGACAAAAATCACTCAGAATTAAAGGTTCTTTTATTAGAATTGTAGTACAAGTCATCCCCCAATTTTTAATGGTGATTTTTGGAATTTAAAGGTAGTCTTATACAAGGAAATATATAGTAATTAATAAAAAAAACTTATTAAAAAAAATGCATTCAAGTAAATCTGGTTAAAAATTCAAAGTTGAATTTTACCTGAGGTGTTAGTTTTTGCATCACTGTGATTTTGAATCTCAATCTTTTGTTACTGTAATTTTTGTTGAGATGAAATACACTGTTGTCATTGATCTCACCCTGGAGCAAAAGAAAGAAATAAATAAATCTAGACAAAAAGGTAATAAGATCAAAAAATGAAATAACAGACGAAATACTCAAAAAGTCAGACAAAAGTTTCCTTTACATATTATGACATTTTACATAAATTTATGGACAGATCTTTTATTATTTACCTAATCCAGTTTTAATTCTGGGTCTGTTGCATTTACTTTTACACTAAAAACCTTGAGAAAAGCATGAATCAGTCTACTCTGTCCCCAGCTATGTGTTAAATAGCAGGGTAGGCTGGTTTCTCTAGGCTTGGAAGGCAACCGGTCTAAGAGAAGGAATAAACCAAATTCAAAACCATAGAGAAGGCTACAGGGAAACCACTCCAGTGTCTTTCCCAAAAAAGTTTGGCAATTGACAAAAAGAAAAGGAATCTGTGGAGAGTCATGATTGCCTGTGTTCTGAAAGGACATGGCATTTAAATAAATAAAAAGCCTGCGATAGTAATTGTGAATAATTGTCACAAGAATATAGGATTCAAATTTTTATAACTTGCAAGCAGGAAAAGTCAAGGAGAAAATGAACAAAATTATAAGTTAACTCAAAATAATTGAATAAAAATTATTAAAAGCAATTCAACTTTCTCTTAAGTCAATTTCATGAACACTCATTTTGGTAAAATCTTGTGTAGAAAAATACAAAATTTGTCTTGTTTTGTAAAAATAGCCCGAGAAAAACAGGACTTAAGAAATATTCATGTCTAACACAAAAAAAAAAAAAAAAAAAAGCACTTACCTCTGTAATCAAGATTTTACTTTCTACTAACACCTGTAACTGTTTCACTAATTCTTTGTCTGGTAATTGGCTGGTTTCCATCAATTCTCGAAACGTCAAATTGTCAGCATTGTTGAAAAGTAACAAAATTGCCATATGGTATGTGCCCATTGTCACAGTGTATGTTTTTTTTAAGTAATTAAATCGAACATCAGCTGGAGGAGGAAGAGAGACAAAAGGTCAAATCTTGAATGATAAAAATATTTCAATATCAAAAAGATCCTCAATTTTGTGACCTAGATCATTTAGTTGTGTTTGACAAGCTGGTCACTCACACAGTATTTAATTAGAGATATCTAGTCTTATTTTCATAGGACTTTATCATACATTATCTTAAAAAGAAACACAATTGAAGAGTGATAGAGATTAGAAGTATAAAGTGACAAGTTTTATTATTATTATACTATTAAGTACAATCTATATCAAGATAAATACAATTTCATTTTCAGTTATTGATGCCACAACTAATGTCCAAATATAATTAAAAAAGGATACTAAAAATAATGGTATTAAATATGTTATTCAATGATAGCAATCAATATAAGATAATACGGTTTTAGCAATCATTATATAAGGTCAAATAACCAGAAGCCATCTCATCTAGCATCTAAGATCAAGGTAGGAAATATGAAAATTTTAAAAATAAATCATTTGCCCCCAAAGTCAGAAAGTTTTTAAAATTTTTGCATAGAGAATCTATCAAAATATTAAAGCTGAAATACTACTCCCTGAACACCAAATCATATAACATGAATTTGACCATGGCGACACAGAGGCAGATCCTCATGTGTTTGATGAAATTAAAATAAATATTCCTTTATATAAACAATAGCATGAAGTGATTCATGCTTATATATATATATATATATATATATATATATATATATATATATATATATACATTTTTTTTTTAACAAGGTAATTAAAATGCCCTTGCTGTTTTCAATTTATTAGAGAGAAAAAAAAAAAAAAAATGTAGCAGCAAATTTGACATACCGTTAGTCTTCAAAGTAGTCCCCACCAGCATCCAAAATTTTTCGCCAACATGCTTCCCGCTATGCAATGCCCAGGCAGTAAAAATCATGTGTCTTGGATGCAAAGGATTTCCCATGAAGGTGGGAATGGTAGAGGTCGTAATCTCTTGGTACAAGGCCCAGGGAGTTAGCTGGATGGCATAGTGTCTCCCAGCCAAGTTGCCATATGTTTTCGCTGGCCAACTGTGCCACATACAACCTGTCATTGTCATGGAAGAACAGTACACCTTTGTGATTAACCAATGTTGGCTCCTGCTTCAGTGCCTGTTGCACATGTTCCAACTGCTGCAAGTACAGGTCTGCAGCGATGGCTTGGCCCATTTGTAGCAGCTCATAGTCCACTTACTGACTAGTCCAGATAGAACATGATCTTGCATGGTGTACAGGAGGTCTTGTAGTGTGAGACACAGGGTTCTGCGATGATAAACAATGTCTGACACACTTGGGAGTGTTATACAGGACCCACTTTTTGTCTCTGGTGAAAACCCAATCAAATATGGGTACATTGCAGTGCCAAGAAAACAATGAGAAAAAGGCTGTCACTTGCCATTGCTTGTTGGCTTCCAACAGTGTATAGGGTATCAATTTGCTCAACTTGTACGATTTCCCTGGGCAGTGCAGGTAAAGTCTGACCATTTCCTCAGAAACCTGTAAGCGTTTGGCAAGCTCACTAAAGGTTTGGCTGATCATCCAGGATCTGTTGTAGATCACTGCAAGGTTCATCACAAATGGATAGATCTCCCAACCTGCAATTCTGGATCCAGTGCCTGGCAGTGCATTCACTTATAGCATTATCTTCAAAAGGCTTGATTTATTCTGAGACTTGATGCAGCTGGGGACATCCCCACCTCAAATTCATAAAGCAGATAACCCCCAAATGAGCTGCTTCGACACCATCATGTTTTCTTACCACTGTTTAAACTATGACTAATGTGTGCGTGCAACGCACCTGCATTAGTCAAGAGCAATGCCCCACTGCTTTCCACACACTCATTTGTGTATCAGTGACCACTTCTTGAAAAAGTGGGAAATGGATGCCATCAGTGCAATGTGTCCTGTATATATACGGAGGATATAGAAATCTACTAAAAAATACTGGCTACTCACCCATACATGAATAATGCATCCAGGTCAATTTTCGACCACTGAAATTTTTGTTGTAAAACATTTCAAACTGAAAATAAATAACCCATAGTTATTGAATGAAAGCAATTGCGAGGTTAGGAGAGAAAGAAGAAGAAGAAGAAGAAGAAGAAGAAAAAAAAAGCTTTTGTGGCACAAAAAATTTAGAGAGATGTTTTTAAAAATTCTTACTACTATAAAACAAGATTTACAGAGGCTTTCAAAGATTTAAAAGAGTAAAAAGAATTTGTTTGAAACAGCTTTTACAAAGTAAATAAAAAAGTAAAGGCAATTTCTATAAAACCTTTATTTCTACTGATGAAGCACAAATTCACATCACTTTTTGACAGTGTTCCCTTCACGCATGATGATGCACTTCTGGTATCTTTCAACAAGCTTCTTCATCCTTTCCGAAAAGAAGGATTTTTGATTGCTCATGAAGCAACACCTGCGCCGCTTGCTTGTTTGGGTTCCCAACATGCACAAACTTTACAGTACCCCAAGTTATAATGCCCTATGGTTTATGCAGAATGATAGTTGATGCTCACAATTGCCACTACTTGTGCTAATGAGATTTGTTGGTCTTCTCTAATGAAAGATCCACTTTCTGGATGTGTTCTTCATTGCACAATGTTGATGGGCAACTGGATCAGCTTTTGTCCGTTACACTCGTACTTCTTGCTTTAATGAATTCTACCCACTCATACACCTTTCTTTAATTCATGGTGTGTGCTCCATACTGTGCCAACATCTAGTGATGATTTCATGTTTGACTCCCTTTATTTACAGAAATTGCATTACCAGAACACAGTTGCCATCAATTTCTTAGCTGAGGACTGAGCTTTCAAATTTTATGTGGTGACAATAGATACTTTAATATTAAAAGCTGTTATGCTTGTTTTGAGTAGTACTATATACCTACTGTTGGTTTATGTTTAGAGCTGTCACAATGTTTTAATTTTGGTTAATTTATGCTTAGCTGTGTCTTACATATAAAATTGTTTGTTTTTTTAACATCATCCATTTAGAGAAAAGGTCTTTATGTTAAACTCATACAATTTAAAGCAATGGCAACAAGAGCTTAAAGAGACTGGTATTGAAAAGATACGCTTACCATTCGGACACTTTTTTCTAATTCTTGTGGGATAGCAAATGTTGGGAACCCACTTTGTCGAATGGGCCATGCTCCAGCCTGTTAAAAAAAAAAAAACAAAAAAAAACAAATAATAGACCAAAGTGCAATGAGAATTCAATTTGTTCAGATCAACACTACAAGCTTTTGGCAGAAAAATAAAAAAATCCACAATTCTCAAATCTAGTTTTATTACATCATAATTTGAAGAATCACAAACAGTTTATTATAACATTTTAGGAAGATTTTGCAATTTTTTTTAGAACATTGTCACATAAAATCAGATTTGTGTTTTTTATTTTTTGTTTTTAAATTATTAAAACCATTTAAAAAATTGAGTAGGTGAAAACTTTCAAGGAAAATTTTATAATAAATGATTTATTGCACTTACAAACACAAATTTACCAACTCACCTGTAGGACTAATATTGAAAAACCAACACCAATGTCCAAATTTTTACTTTTGCAAAAGTCTTCAAACTTTTTGTTTAAATCTCTACTAATATTCATATCTGTAAACATTTGGTGCAGTTTGTTTGTAAACTCATAGCCACAGGCTTGCTGTAAAGACAGAAGAAACAGTCAACAAATAAAGTCATAAGATTAAAAATTGGAGAGAAAAACTATATGAATATATGAATTAGTTTAAAGGAATGTCAACCAAATTGATGAAAAACAAGATTTGATGCAAAGACTAAAAATTTAACCAAAGCTGGGCTCAAGATTCAGCTTAATCTATTTTTAAAATCCTTAAAAAAAATTTACAATAGCAACAGATTTTCCATTAGTCAAACTTCAATTTCTTTCCTTACTACCTTATTATATTTTTAAATATCATCTTTATCAATAAAATGGTTAAGTTTAGAAAAAAAAGAAAAAGCTACTATTTCTGACTTCAATATTTCAAACATGAAAATCATTAAATTTGTTACTTAGCTTGGTAACATTTTTTTTCACCCAAATGTTCACCCAATACAAGGTCCAAGAGCCACCCAAGGTAAGAGGTTACTGTGTCATGTTGTATTAGCATAAGAAAGGGGCAAGAAGTGAAGTTCATAGGGATATGTAGGAAAGATAATGGTTAACTCTAGACTTGAAGAGGTTAACATTGTAGTGATTGGGAAAACAAGTATGTAAAAAAAAAAACTTTAGAAGGAACCAAAAACTCAATTCTTTTATTGAGAAGAAAAAAAAAATAGTGAATAAAATTTCAGAGTTCAGGTGGAGACATTAGAAATATAGAGTTGAAGTAGACTTTAGAAGGAACCAAAAACAAGGGATAAATGTCTACTTTTGTTCAAAAGACCAGAAAGGAAAAAGAAATTATAAAGAAAAAAACCCTGTGAAAGCACATACTTTGATAAACAATATTAAATATTTTATGAATTTAAGCAGAGAGTGATTCTTATATTAAAAATATTGTGATGATCACATTCAAATACTAAATAGTTGAATAATAGCAATGTTTATAATCTCAGAAAAAGTACAAACAGGCATATATTCTTTTTTTTTTTTTTTTATATTTGTTCTAAACTCAAATCCCAATGACTTCGGCTGATAAAACAATTTTTGTTTACCATATTTTATTCTTCATAAAAATATTTAAGCAGACACTAATTCTCACAGCAACAGCATTTTCTGAAAGTAATAGATTATTTGGAAAGAGAAATGTGGAAAATTACCTTTAATTTGTTTATCATAGCTTCCTCAGCATCCATTGAAGTGGACAGGTTATAAATTAACCGTTTAGCCAGCATTCTAGAATAAAACTAAACAAAAAAGAAAGACAATCAAAGAATAAGTGATCCAACAAGAGCAAAGTACATAAAAAAAACAGATGTAAAGTATATGATCTAATTAAGGATTTCAAACTTATTGCCAGGAAAAACAATGAAATTCTTGAATGCTTTGCAAGTCAGGCTTAATTCAATGCTGTAGACCAGTGGTTTTCAACTGGGATTTATGTAACATTACTGGGGGTCTATGCAAAAAAACAGGAAATTGGGGGTTCACGGTAATATTTTCCTTCTCTCCTAACCTCACACTGGACTAAAAAAAAAAACAAAAGTCCAAAAGACTGAAGTTAGAAGGACAGACACTACATTGAGGAAGTTGATAACTTCACTTAGCTTAGAAGCATTCAATTTAATTCTGATGAGCTAAAGAATTTCTATCTAAATATCTGAGATGAGTAGTTGTTATTATTTTATTATTTTGTTATTATGAGTAGTTGTTATTATTTTGTGTCTGCCGGCTTCTATCAGGTGTATACCTAATGAAAGTCGGAGGGTACAATGGCTGAAGCATTGTGATAACACCAACAAAGATAAGAACAATCGTCTGCTTGTAAATAGTGGAAATAAATCAAAGGAGCTAAAAATTGTATTGGAAAAACTAATGGGGGTCTTGAAAAGACTCCATACTGCCAGGCCTTCAACTAAGATTAGTATTCAAGTGAAGCTCATATTAAACAACTCTATTATCCTCACAATTGCCTTATATGCATGTGAAACTTAGAAAACCACAACAAAAGTTATCCAACTCTTAAATGTTTTCCATTTAAGATGCCTTTGTAAAATCACAATGGTGTCTTGGAGATAGAAACAGAAACTAGGAAATGAGAAGAGGTGCAAATTCTAGAAACCTTAGTGTAATAGTGGCAGATAGGCAGATACAACTCGCAGGCTATATCCTGTAACTTCTATCTGACAGATGGCTAGCCAAAGTTGCTCTAAAATGGATATGTCAAGGCTACAAAAGACCAAGAGGTCATCCTAAAATGACATAGTGTGCTACAGTTAAGTAAGAACCAAGTAAAAAAAGCACCAATTGGTTCCAGGATCTGCAACTTGCCAAAGACTAATCTAAGTAGAAGAAAATTGTGGCTGCAGGAACAAGGGAAGGATTCTTGTACTTATGCTGAAATTGTTATCTTTGCAGTTTTTATACTTTCATGTCTTTTGGAAATAAAATTCACCTGGAACAAATGATGTTCTCTTCAACCATTTCTTGCACTGTTCTCTTGTAAATAGTGCAGAAGTTTGTATTAAATTATACCAAGAATAACCAAATCAGAAACTTCTTTAAAATGAACAAGGTGCCATCATTAAGTATTCTTTAAACAATTTTTTTTTTTTTTTAAAAACAGCATTTACAATGATCCTTACATTACCTAGACAATTTTTAATTATCTTGCAAATCATACAAAAGGAAGAAACAATAAAAAATACAACAATTGGTTGAGACAAAAGAAAGGTATGATGAGAGTACTCACTCGTTGGTAAATATCTTTATCTTCTAAATATTTGAATACAGTTATGCAGTTATCGAGTTTCTCATCCAATTCACTTTCAGAAATTCCTTTGGAGCTTTTCTTCAAAAGATTATCATTATATTTTGCTAGCTGAAAGAACAATAATTATTTGACATTGAACAGAAGATGTACAAAATGCTCTCTTCAAGTCTGGCAGAATTATAGACAAATCATCTTCTATGTGCCACATCCCTTCATGATTCAGGACATAGGCATCATGGCACACCACAACTTTCTATCTTGTGTGGCTCTTAGCAGTTTTTCTCCCTTTGCTAAGGTCCCCTAGGCTCCGTTCCACCATCTAGTCACACAAATACATAATTGGTTCACTGCCTTCCTCTATTTCTCAATATGCCCAGTGAGGGTTAAGTTTTCTAAGTCCTCATTCCTCACTATGTGTCCAAGAAATATCAGCTGTCTTTTCCTGATTTTCAGTATAAGTATTCTTTCTGTTGCCATTTTTTTAGGATTCCCTTGTTGCTTACTTACTCCATCCTCAGAAATTTTGGTATCATTCTGTAAGAACCATTTTTTTTCTGCTGCTTCTAGTTATTTTTCATCATCCTTGGGGATGACATTCAATGCCATATAAGAGGATGGATATCACACAGAAACTGTAACAATATGATTTCTCACACATGCTTAGGAGATAAAAGCAAAAGGAATTTATCTACTTAAGCCAATTTGAATACCAGTGTTTCCTAAGAATTTTGTCTCTAGTCCATCTTTGAGTCAACTTAATTGCCAGAGTTTTCAGGATTCCTGTCTTCAGCCTGCCTTTGAATTGGCAAAAATAAAATTTTGTTAATGATTTTAGAAAATCATAAAAGTAGAGTCCTTTGAACAACTGACCACCTATCCAGCTATTTGTTTAAGTCAAGAATTTCCATTTGATAAGGACAATTTATTTTCAAAATGGTAAAAGGTAGGATATGTTGTTTATCCATCAGTCTACATCTTTGATAAGAGACCAATTCTTTTTAGAAAATCCAATATAGTTTTTGGTTCAGTTTTTGCAAATAATTTCTTCATGTTCTTTGTGATATAGAAATTTCTATGGATGTGTGTGAGGTTTGTACATTCTATTAGTATATGTTTTACAGTGTATTGTTTTCCACAGGAACATTTATGAGGAGGTTCTTGTTTTAGTACGAAAGAGTGAGTCAGTCTTGTGTGTCCAATGCGTAGTCGGTCAATGGTGGTTTGTTCTTTTCTTGTTTTAAGATTCAGTTGCCTTTCCTTTAGAATTGGTGCTATTTGGTAGAGTTTATTGTTTGTATTTTTGTCCCATAGTTGTTGCCATTTTAGTGTTATTGTTGTCTTGATTTTGTGTTTTAGGTCAGTGTATGGGATTTTGATGTTTTGGTCGGGTGTCATGTTAAGAGCTGCTTTGGCTAAGGAATTGGCTTTCTCATTTCCCTGGATTCCAATATGGCTTGGGATCCAGCATAGTGGGGTGGGTTCCCAGCCAGTATCCATGTAAGCAGAGAGAGGCAGGTAGTCAGCATTAAGCAGGTGACTAACAGCCAGGAAGGGACCAGTGAGCAGTAAGAAACCAGCAGTTGCCTTGATGGTCAGTGAATTTAAGGGTCCTCTTTTTGTGGCTGGAAGTTAGGGAGATAGCAACCCACCATTGAAGCTGAAGGAATACATTGGCAGTTTAATGAGAATTCATATTATTGCTTTTTTCCAACCATTTGAAATGTATTTGTCATTATTCTTTCTTGAATTCGATCAGGGCCAAAGAGACAAACCTGGATGTCACCACAGATTGTTCAGTGATGATGACTGGAGTACCTTGTCACAAAACAAAGAAAAGAATGCTGGTTTGCTAACAAAATTTTTCATTTATCAGCCCCATGCTTAACTTTTGAGATGCCTCTTTCGCTAATCCAATGTGTGTTCAGATCTTGGTGTTGCATTTTCCGTCCTATACTAAAACCATTACCTGGGACAATTTATGTCATATACACATTTTTTTTTTTTTTTTAATAAGTGAAAAATTTCTCAAGTATCCAGATCAGCAGTATTTTCCCTTTTTTTAAGCCTTGAATAGACAGTATTTTAGTAATGTTCAATATTTTAAATAAAAATTGAAAAGAATTAAACTATAAATACGAACTATCCTGAAATCTTTACCTTATATAATTGTCTATGCAATTCTAGAATAGAAATGTTGAATAGAAAGTAGACAACAGTTTTTCCATTCAGGTAATTGCTATTAAATAGCAAAAGGATTCAGAAATTATGATTATAAATGGAACATGGCTTCTAATTAGCAAAATATTAAAATCATTTAAAATGGAGGTGGAGAAGAAAATATAAACAATTCAATCAATTTTTTTTTTTTTTCCAACAGTTAAATTATTATTTAAAAAAAAAAAAAAAAAAAAATTACAATCCAAATTTGACACAAGCCAATAGCAACAAAATGCTTCCAATATTATTTCTAGTAAAACTAAGTCTATGACTTACCAGTTCCGGAGACTTGCATTCACCTTTAATCTTGCTGTTAATAGCAGCAGCACATGCCTACAAGAAAACATAATTGCAGATAATTACTATCAGGACTTGTAAGGTAGAATTGATTTAATATTACATTAAAATGAATATCTTTGCACCCGTCTAGTTTCTATTATAATTAATGTTTATCTGCAATGTTTTTTTTTGTATGAACACTCCTTTAGGTAAACAAATCAATAAGTTTATCCTTTTATTTGTAAAGAGCATTAAAAGTTTACCATAAGCATGCATAGTTCCTAGCCCCACTTAGATAAATAAATTAGAAAAAGCATATAAAAGCTAACACTTTTATCACAATTCTGTAGAAAGCACTGAAATAGATTCCTAAGAAAATGCTTACTTACATTAAATAGAATTGATCTGTATGACTGGTCATAAACACTTTGAAAAGGGTTTTTTGTACTTTATATAAAACCAGATTTAATTGACTGTTGTCAGGATAATTGAATCAATGTGAATCCTTTCCTTGTATGTGCTCTGCTAAGGCTACATACATGATTTAATAGACATGGTATAACATTTAAAAATACCCAAACTGCAAAATAGTTTTTGGCACCCCCCCCCCAAAAAAAACAAACTAAATAGTTTTAATGTTCTATTTACATTTCCCATAATACAAGTAAATCATTTTACCTTATCCAAAGCTTGAATAAATTTCTGGTCATTATTAAAAACACTTTGTATCAATTCTGTGTATTTCTTGTGGACTTCTAACATAGATTCCACAAACATACAGGGCACCTGAAAAAGATTAAAATGTACAGAAAGTGGAATGCTGAAAAGCTCATGAACTGGTTCATTTTGTGGGGGGGGGGAATATTTTAATAAGCAAATATCAGAAAATTGATTTAGGGAATCAAGTCACACCAGGAACATTTCAGTATCTACCTCATTGTTTTTTGTTTTGTTTTTCCTTTAACCCCCAACCACAAAAAAAAACAAAAAAAAAAACACAATGTTGCAAAATGATTAAGGAGTAATTAATATAAAATTATGACAAATCCTATATTATTTCATATGAACAGATCATTTGGTAGACTAAAAGATTTACAAAAAAAAATGTTAACATTGCAAGTACCAAAAGTATAAAGATAGAATAGCAAATATGATAGACAACAAAGGAGAGAGTTCTCTTGATCTCGGATAAAAGTATAACTAAATAATCTGTCAGCTTGTAGAGGTTTCCATGATTCTCAGAATTATAAATAAACTATATTCTATCTAGCTTTTGACACAATCCTCCCATCTTCTATTTTATCATTTACATACATGTAGGCCATCATTCCACTCTTCCTGCAAATAAAGTCAATTTTCATTTATTTCTTTTTCCCTTTTTGATAAGCATTCTCATAAACATTTTTTTTTATGTGTTGTAAATTGATGCCTTTGATGCCCATTGTCAACCACTTCTATTGAAGTGATAGAGAAATGAAAGACATCACCTTGAATGAAATTTTATAACAGCTTTTCACTGCATATATATATATATATATATATATATATATATATATATATATATGAGTGTTGTAGCTTTCTTGTACTCCATGATGCTCTGAATTATAAATAAACTACACTATTTCATTTTTAAGCAATTGTTATATTAATGTTAATTATATAGTTATTATAATGTATTGATTTGATGTTAAAATGTGTTTGTTTTGCAGGTGCAGCAAAGGCGGCTGGAACTGGAGCAGGCTTTAGAGATCAGGAATGCATAGAAGATTTAAACAAGATTTGCATCCAATGCATTCCTCCCATCTTCCATTTTATCATTTACATAAATGTAGACCATTCCACACTTCCTGCAAATAAAGTCAATTTTCATTTATTTCTTTTCCTTTTTTAATAAGTACTGACCAGATCATCCAAGAATATAACCAACAGTAATAAATAAATCCTGAATTTTATAAAAATCTTGAGCAGTAAAACTGGAAATTTTAACTAAGAATCCAATATTTATATCCTGTATAACCTGAATTATTACAAATCAAGATTAACATTGCATTAACAGAATCTAAAATGTCATAACAGTACAAATATAATGATTACCATAATAAAATGCCAATTCAAATTATTATTAATTATCTCTGGACATTATAGCAAATTAGAGTGAGCATATAAAGAAAAAAAAAGTTCTATTATCCTGTTTCAGCCAATATTACATATACAAGCCACAAGTTCAAAGGGGGGGGACCCGTTTTCTTCAGAAAATGTATTCCAGATAAATAAACATGAGCACTACTGGAGAGTGAGAAAATTGAAAGAGGCTGCATGCATCAAATTGCTAGATGGTGCAGAAGTCAAGCTCACAAAGATTTCAGCAGTATGGTGTTCCTTACATGGCAAAAGTATTGGAGCATTTCCTGTGAATAAGACTGGAATTGCTCAATTGGTGGCAACAATTTTGTCCACGTATCTAATATGTGCTTAAGTGAATACTCTGGTTGTTAAAAGAAAAACAAGATTTACTTTACTAGATTATACATCTGATAAAGGTTCAAGAATAGATTGTCCCAAACACTGTGCTTACTACATCAAAAACACTAAGAGTTCAAGTATGTACACAAAATTTGGTATGTCAGTGACGAGGACAGAGCACATTTCTATCAATGAAGCCATTGTAATCCTTAATGATATGGCAAAATTTATTTCTTAGTTTGTTTTAAGACCATTTTAACAGGTTTTCTCTTTCTCATCTTCTTACCCCATCAAAACTTGGAAATTCTTATTCAGTAACTGTAACACATTTTATCTTTTGTAAATAATTGTATTTGAAGATTGTAAAAAAGAAAAAAAAAATGTCTAGAGTGAGAAAAAATATTTGCTTTGGCTGGCTCAGTTTTGAAGCTACAAGCAAATCTACTTTATTTTCCTACTATTCTGTTGAAAGTTACTCCCAAATCAAATTCTTATCTAAATGCTGTGATTATCAAGTCAATTCAAATTGAATAAAGATTTTAGTCTATTTCAAATAACAGTTGTAAAAAACAAAGAAAAAAAAAAAAAACAACTTACATTATCCCCTTTGAGATCTTGCACAGCTTCAAGACCAGTTTGTCTGATGTAATTTTCAACCTTTTCAATTAAATAGTTCAGGCCATTTCGAATAGGTTTAAGTAAGATATACATATTAGATAGATCTGAAATAGAGTAGAGAAGAGAATATCATCAAAGCATGAATTATGATAAAGAAGAAAAACAAAGAGATTTTAGCAAAGTTTAACTTTTAAAAGACATGATAAAATTGCAAGATTACATATACACATGAATCAAAAATACTGTTAGCTGAAATTAGAGACCAGATAAGGAGAACAGCACTTAAGCATATCTGAAAAGATGATAGAGGAAAGGGGTAGAAATTGAACAGGTTTATTAAAATCAGAAATAGAAAATTCTTTATAAGTTTCTGACAAAAAAATTATATATATTTATATGGTTCCAAGTAATTAAACAAAAACATATTCAAGAAGAGCGTTGGGAGAGGAAAGTAGAAAGAAAATGAATTTTAACATACTTTTTAAGAGCATACTACCATTAATATTATAATTTTTTTTTTTTTTTTTTTTACTTACAGGATAAGTGATCATGGCTCTCCACAGATTCCTTTTCTTTATTATCTGTGAATTGCCATGCTTTATTGGGTAAGATAGGAGTACTTTTACATTGCTTTTCCATGTTTTTTGTTTTCTTTTAGACTAGTTAAAACCCAAGACTAGAGAGTCTAGCCTACTCCACTATTTAATCCATAGCTAAAGGGAGAAAAGGAGGGCTTTATGCCTTTCTCAAAAATATTTCTGTGAAAGTGAACACAATTGACACGGCCAAACAGTTAAACTGCCTGCATATTTGGGAACTGTTTATCATTCAAATAAATTCTAAAAAAGGGGGGGGGCATATTTTCAAACTTACCTTTCCTCCTCTCAGACTGTACCATTTCTTCACAAGCCGCATGAAGAAACTGGATATGGTCAGCAACCATTCTTTCCTGGGTTTCATGAGTTACTTTCTCATATGATGATGGATGTAGAAACTTTCGACTCCGCATATTTTCCTGACATAATTTCTGGATTACCTGAAACACAAGTAAAAAAAAATTCTTAATTTAATGATGCCAAACTTGCAAGCACACTTAATAACAGTAAAAAGGTTTTTGTTCTGTTTTTCCATTAGATTTATAATTCTCTTATATAAAACAAGACAACTTTATATATTTATCAGTTACACAACCTGATCTCCCTTTTTAAATAAGTTTATTGTTCTTGCAAAAGAAGACATTACTTAACAATAAACAAGCATGCCTCATGTTATCATAACAACGGAATATCTAATTAGAGAAGCAGGCTGCTAACATATTGCTTTTTATATTTATTCCAGTTTAGCTTTTGATATTTTTACTTTTAAGGAAAATGCTTACATGCAACAATACAGTTACTCATAAAGATAAAAATCCTAAATTACTAATGCAGATAATTTGACCAGTACAATTACTTCAATATTAATGTCTCTTTTTCATGGTACAGTTAAGCTACAGATTTAATATATCATATCACGATAATTGTATGATAATAATGACCAAATGTCTTTAAATGATTTTTCAAACACTTCAGTTTTTCAAAAATTTAAATGAAATGAAAGGTCGATGGTAGAAAATAATGACTCATAAATGAGGATTGCTTATAATTAAAAAAGTTTTTTATTTACATTTTGACTGAAGTTCTCTTGTTATTAAAACATTTTAACTGTTGTGCCCTCTGAAGGTTACCTGGGTTGTCAGACACTTGTAGGTGTCTGTATACCTAGGTAACCTTCAGGGAGATTTGAACCGATTCTTTTTTTAATATTCATTGGAACTATTTATTCTAGTTTTTGCCATTTCCCCGCTCTTATTTATTTTGTTTTGATTTTCCCCTTTTTAATATTAAACAATATTTTAGTCGTAGTTCCTTGTGTCCTCCCAATTTGTATATTTTTCCATGATCTTCATTAACATTTTACTACTCACCACTGATTCTTTTGATGAAATGTTGGCCGAAAAAATTAATTTTTTCAGGAAAAATTAAGTGATTTTGTCTGTTTAAAACTAATAACAATTTCTGTGGTATCATATATATATATATATATATATATATATATATATATGAATATATATATATATATATATATATATATATATATATATATAATATAAAAAATAAAAAAATCAATATTCATTCTAGAGTTATCTTATGAAAGAGTGAGAACACGAGAGAAAAGTACTCTCTCACTCACAAACACACACATTGTGCAAGAAGGAAAAGAACAGAGATAAGCAAACCTTTTCCATGTATTCTGAACAGTTGTATTCACTCTTTAGCTTGGAAGCTTCTTGTCGATAATATTCTCCCGTTTCTTGAAGGAAACGGCGTTCAAAGAGATTTCTATAGAACTGAAACAAAAATTCAACAATATTCAGATTTTTACAAGCAGAACAGTGGTAATAAATTTAAAAATGCAATAAGAATAATTACTATTGGATTGAAAGCTTCAAGTTTTAAGCACCTTTGCCTCCAGAGACTTGCATGCATGAGTGAAAGAAAAAAAGACTTTATTTAAAGACTGTATTTAATATTTTGTAAAATTGCAAACATTTACAACATATAAAAGTGAAAAGGACAAAGATTTTAGAAATTGTAATTACAAAATAGAATTCTGAAGAAAATTACTCACTTGTACTTGTTCCTTCTTCTTATATTCTTCTACATTAACAAAAGAATTCATGACCCCATGCAACACGGTCTGGTTGACAGCACCACCGTTTCGATCTCTACACAAACAAAACATATCCATATAGTTTACACATAACTAAATGGTCCTAGTAGAAAAGCTACAATAATTTGTTTTCTAAGCATAAATTAAAAGGATTTATTTAAATAGATTCTACTCTAAAGACTTGTAATATGTACTCCTTAAATACAATAAGGTACACTATACAATAAACATCTTTTGATTAGTTTTGTTTGGATTGCTGTCCTAGAAAGTCAGTTATGAAGTTGAATGAAAAAACAAAACAAAGAGACTTTAAAAAGTAATAACAATATCAAAAGATTTGTAACTAATTCCGATTGATGAACTGATAATTTTAAGATTAATTCAAGTATTTTACAAATAAAAAGTTTTTTTTTGTCTTTCATTTTACTCCCCCAGGTAAAAATGATCAACTAGTAAAATTTAATAACTTGCTATGTTTAAAATTCATGTAAAGCTGACAATGTATTCTTAGACTGGTCAGTTATAGAGGCAAATGCTAGTCATTAAACCATGGCTCAAGTGTCAACATATTACATTCTTTTTATTTTTTTCTTTTCTTTTTTTAAAAATCAAGAAAGCTAATATTTAATTTAAATAACAATTGTTATTTAGTAAGAAATACTAAAAAAGGATTCATAAAGAAATTCAAAGAAAACTTTTGTTGAATCCAATTTGAAGACTTTCCTAATTAAACTCCCCAATTATATACTTAAGCAGAAAGGAACTTTAGAAAATAAAAATTCAGCTACACTGCTTGAAAAATTGTGCAAGCAACAATCAATTAAAAAGTTAAATTGAAGTAATTTCAAAATTTAGTCAGATACAGATTTGATCATTTTCCTGGTTTCTTTAACAAGAGTTTCTAAATTCTGACCCAAACCAGAAAGAATAAATGTATACTTACTTTTGAATTTCTTGCAAAATCAGTACTATCAATTGTTTGCGCAAAGGCTCTATCATGTGACGCTTCCAGATATCCAGACATAACTAAAAGGTAAGAAAGATGACAATATTTAATGAACTTTTACACTCATTTTGTAAGGAAACATAATGAAAGTAAATGAACCATTCAAATCAGCTATTTTCATTGATATTTCTATAATGTGAATGTTCACATATTATTTTAAAGTACATGCATGAATGGATAGATAAGAGAGAGAAAATAAATTACTTGAAAAAAATAACTGTAAATGAAAAAAAAAATTAAAAAAATAATCAGACTTCTAAAACAAAACATTTATTCCCTTCAGTCAACAAGACCTTTTGATAAACAACCTTGATGTACTATTTGCACTGGGCACCAGCATGAAAAGTTTGCTTCGGGATCTAACCCTAAAATAATCAACAGAGCTGGCCATAGGAAAAGCATGGATAAGTCAAATTGAGACCAGCAATTTTGAGAGATTGTCCTTGTGGACTGTCATAGCAAACTTGAGTTTTGTTAGGAATTGAAGTCATTTAAATTCAAGGGATAAGTCTTGAAATTATAGAGGATCCTGAAAAGGTTTGTCTAATCTAATTAGTATAGTTGTCAATAACACATAGAAGAAACTGTTCGTCAGTAAGGTGAAATCCACTGCATTACTTTGAAAAGTCTAGATTTTTGAAATGGCAGAAGTCAAACAAGGAAGGACACCAGGCAGCCCCAGAAAGTTAAGGAACTCAATTGGGTTCTGAACAGCCTCAAGTGTCCGGGTTTATGCCAAAGTGTACAAAATCTGTTACAACAGCTTTAAATTTATTTCTTTAACTACATCATTCTTTAGAACAGGAAACACACAGAACAACTGATGGTCTCTGTAGTGGAGGCTAAAACAAAAGGCTTAATTAAAAATAAATGGGGGGGGGTGCTATTTTAACTCCAAATTGCTATTTGATGATTTCCACTGACCTTAGAGGTTAGACTCAAATATCCTATTATCTTTCTTCCCACATCCCACTTTACTCCCTAAAATGTAATTGTTTGACTAAAATGCAGGTCATAAAGGCTACAAATTAATTCTACTGCCAATGAATGTCAAAGTCAAATTTTACTAAATCTACCTTTTACCATTTCCAAGGTAGGAAACATTTTTCTACATCATAGCAAACTTCATTTGGCAAGAAATCATATGTTGTGCTATTTGATGACCTTTGGTGACATCAAATGACCAGAGATCAAGTTTAGTTAACCTCTCTTAGTTGAAATCTTTGTTATCCAAAAGAAAATTGGACCCAAACATAAAAAATTCAATATTAATATATATTTGGAATATAAAAAGGAGGGTAAGCTCATTCACTTTTCATCCAAATAACAGTCATTTCGTCATTCCAGACCCTCCCTCCAAACCTAGAAGGAAATAAAGCAAAATACAGGATGCAATGAATAAATTGTCGTCTGAATTACACAAAAATGAAAATAACACTGACACCTCATTTTAACAAATATACTTATCAAAATTACACAAAATATCATGAAATACTAAAGAGCAAATTTATTCAGTAAAATCACCATTAGCTTCAACCACAGCCTCCAGACGACTTTGGAATCTCCTGCAACTCTTCTGGACAGTTACCTTGTTTAAGTTGGAGAATGCTGCCATAATCTTCGTTTTCCATTCATTTTTGGTGTTACAAGGAGTTTTGTTGGTCTCTCACTCAATTGTGCCTCATACATAATAAATCAAGGAGGTTGGAGTCTGGAGAGTTAGGTGGCCAGATGTAAGGGGTGATATGGTCACAGAAATTGTCTGGGTTCTTCTGCATGTGCAGCATAGTGCAGAGTCCTGTTGCCAGACATAGGGTCTTCTAGCAGTCACCCTCTTGTCCCAGGGCATCACTACCTCCTCAAGGCACTTGATATAGGTCCCCATGTTAAGTCTGAGGTACTATGGGAAGATGAATGGAGGCATGATGTCGCCACCATTAGTAATCACTCCAAACACCTTCGTAATCACCATTAGACTCATCCAACTTTTTCTGAATTCTCTACACTGTCCACAAATTGACACCACAAATACTGCGAAATGTTTGTATTGGAACTTCCAGCATGAATGCCAAGCAGTACAGTATTTGGTTTCCAAAATCTCCAAAACCAACTAAAAGGTAAGCTACATAGATGAAAGCTAATGTTATACATGTGGTGGGATTCAAGATATTAGTCATTTAGAGTTCTTAAAACAATGCACATGTCCAGCAGCTGCAACATGTCCAGAGAAGTTTGGTCAAAAAGCAAAAAATAGGAAAAGATTTGTTCTCTTCCATGATAACATTACAACTCAGGAAAAAAAAATAACATAGGAAAAAAACATTACAACTCAGGAAAAAAAATAACATAGGAAAAAAAACATTACAACTCAGGAAAAAAAAATAACATAGGAAAAAAACATTACAACTCAGGAAAAAAACATTACAACTCAGGAAAAAAAAAATTACAACTCAGGAAAAAAAAAATTACAACTCAGGAAAAAAAAAATTACAACTCAGGAAAAAAAAATAAAATAGGAAAAAAACATTACAACTCAGCTGGTCTCTTCTACCCCACCTGCCATATTCACCTGAACTTGCACCAATTGATTATTACCTTTTTTTGATTGCTGCAAAACAATGAGAGTACACACAAAAAAGCCCTGGAGGGGCAAAGGGTTAATTTTTTTTTTTTTTTTTTTTCAAGAACAAAGTTGATAAACAAAAACAGAAATTATTTAGGACTCAAGCCAATACAGTATTAGTTTTCCAACAACAATATCCTGCTTCTGTTTATAATGGCAATCATAACAGATTAAAGTCATTATGAGAGAATAGAAGAAAGTACTTACTTCACCAATTTCAAGTTTCTGATCATTTGTTTCATAATTGAATGGGCCATATGCAAGGTCAGCATCTGACAATTTCTGTTTTTTTATATATGTTGTGTTTAAATAACTGAAACAAAAAAAAACAACAGTCAGCAATGAATGGTAGTCAAATTTCACACCAACAGTAAAGCTTTTCAAAACAATGTCACATTTAAATGGAATATTATGTATTGAACGATCAAAACATGGAGGATTCAGATAGTAATAAAGTTTATTCGCAGTTTAAATTGAAGGCATAATATTGCATAAGAAATTGAACACAAACAGAGAATCAAGGCCTTTTACTTTCATTCATAGAGGGGGTGGAAAATAATTTGTAATCAACATTATTTAAATATTTTGTTATTAAATTTGTCATCAATTCAATATGTTGAATTGATGACAAACTTAGCATTAGTTTTATAAAAATTTAATATTTGCTCATACACTGTGGTGGAGGGAACCGTGTTTTCAAATGGAAAAAAAAGAAAATCTAAAGTAATTTTATTCACTAACAAAAAAGCATGGTTAAAAAACAGATCTACGTAGTTGGTTTACTTTATACAACAAGCTCAGTTTGTTTTAATCACATCACCAAAATGTGTGAGGAGATAACATTCAATTGGAATATATGACAAAGGTTTTCAAGACAAATTGCAATTCAGCAGCCACAGAAAAAAAATTAAATTGAATGTAAACTTGCTGGTTTTTTTAACTATTGTTGTTCAAAATAGTTTATAACTGTCAGCAAGAGCAAAGCTAACAAGTGTTACACTTTGCCTCAGGCTGTCAGAGAACAGAGCCTTAAATTTACAAGGGCTTAGTCACCTATTTCCAGCCAGCCATTTATAATTGCTGATAAATATCTGGTCTGTGTATGGTTAAACTGACAGAACTAAAAAAAAAAAAAACACACACTAGTGATTTTCATTTCATCAATAAATTGGTATGACTAATTTTGGAAGTACATATCTTGTAATATTAGTTCACACTCAAAAGTTGGAACATTTTTTTTACTATTAGAAATTTAAAAGGAAGCTTATAAGACAATGTTGTAATGTCTACCATAACATAGGTTTAACATTTCCGTTTCTGGGATGAGGATTTACCATCAGACTAACATCTCTAGCTTCATTATTATGTTTCAGTGTTGCATCTTCTGACCTCCTTCAGGTGTCTGTCGTTCTGTTGTCCATGTCTAGACATGAACAGTGGAACAAGAACAATCTACCCCTGCAGATTAAACAAAGGATTCAGTTCAAAATTCCCTGTAGGTTAGCTGGATAGACCAACACCTGAAGAAGGCTAGAGGACACAATGGCTGAAACATTATGATAACAACAAAGAATGGAACAGGAGTTCAATTGTAAATAATGTTAATATGTTTAAGAATTCTCAGTCAGTCAAATTCATTAAGCTAATCCCATACTAGATTCCATAAATGGTAGAAATGGAATGGCTATTCCCTTCCCTCTGTATTTTTGTAGACGAAGAAAATGAAAATGTTAAAGCCTGCTGAAAATAGTTGCTGTATTTATAATGTGTTTGCCTTTACTGGCTTTTTAAGTAAATGTAAACTCCAGGTCTGACATAAAAATCCAACTCAACACTTTGACACAAAACTCCAACTCTGGCAGTCTGCATGTCGAGAGTGATTTTTCTTTGCCAGAGAAAAAGCTGATGTTATATAGCTCTCTCAGTCCCAGACCTATGCTGACTATTAGCTAATACCTGCCCAGTATGTTTGTATGCAAATTTTGTCAGTACCATCTACTCTAAATAGAATGTCTTCTCTCAACAGCCAATTGTGGAAGAGGACATAACTCCTGGTGCTTATTGCACCTCATGCAACCAACTCTGAGTCTCTTGTCAGGATGACTCAATTCTCCATTACATATAATTTGTACAGCTGAGATGATTAGCAGGTTTGGTCATGTAAGTTCTACTGTAAATTTTTAGGAGTTCTTGTCTGTTGAATGAAAGAGTCATTAAAAGCATTGGTAGCAAAAATGAAACTACATCTTGAGAAGTAGGAAGCAATTTAAGATAATTAGGCAATAAATTAGGATTGCATACCCAAAAAGTTGATTTAAATAAATTGATCCTTGACTGTACTGCTGCCAGTGTTTGTGATAGGCAGCCAGTAAATTGTCATCATACAACACAGTCTGCAAGAGAGAAAAATGAATAAGATTAAATGTAGATGGTTAAGATCAATAGACACCCAAAAGGTGCAGGGCAACTAAACACCACCAACTGAGCACTGGGACAACTCAACAACAGAAAAATTTAACCTTTTTTTTTTTTTTTATATAACCAATTAAAAGTAATTTATTAAGGATTAAAATCTTAATGAATTTTTCTTTTCAAATAAGGCATTATGCAAAATATAAACCAGTTGTTTTTAATTTTTTTTTAATAAAATAAATCATAAAGAAATTTAATTTCTAATAATGAAAATTGACATATATAAATAATTCCATAAAACACTTGTTTTTAATTATCTTTTAATAAAATAAATCAAAATTCTTTTACTTTTTTTTTTTTTTTTTTTTTTATAAGAGTTGTCCCAATGTTCAGTCAGTGTTGAGTTGTCCATTCCCATAATCAACTGTATATACATTCACACAGGGAGACATTTTTCAAGATAAAAAGAAAATACAACCAAAACATCAAAGTTAAATTAAAATTTAGTTGTTCATATTTGAAGAGATTTTCAAGTTAATTAAACCTAACAAATATAAAAAGACCTGAGCTGAACCTGACATTTTTCACTATTCATAATTTAGAAAAAAGATTTTTGCAACCCACTTCATTCCAAGGTGTTAAAAAAAAACAAAAAAAAAAAAACGGGCAAAAAATGTAGGATTTTCTACAATTACAAACCCTAAATTTAAAAATCATTCCTATTTTGATCACTCTTAAAGCATTAGTAAGAATGCCTTCAGGAAAATGAACATTAATATTTTAAAATAATTTGATGAAATTCATTTATTCTGGAATTTCAAGAACATTGAATTATACAGTAACTTTCAAATAGAAACCCATTTTTGATAAAAATTCCAATAAGTGTTGTTCTTCATGCTTCAAGATATCAACACTAATTCCAACTAACCTACCTTTATGCATCATGTCAAAATAGTCAAATTTTCCCTCAAGTTTTTAAAGTGTTTTTTGGGGGAAGGGGAGGGGGATAGAAGCAAAATTTGAACTATAAAGCTAGGAGTAATAAAATGAAACCTTTATTTCCACAAAATCTTGTTGCTGCTCATTGAGGATTGCTGAGAAATGTCAATTCTCAGTGATAAATGCACTTTTTAATCATCAATATGAGTAATTTTTGTATTGCATCTACTGACCGAGTTGTCCCGACACTTGGAAATTAGCCATCAGCATGCTATATCTATCACACATACACAAAAATCAATCCTTACTTTTTTCTAAATATAGATAATTATTTCCCAATAAATAATACTTAAAAACTAGTAAGCACATGGACATGTCAAGTCAACAACAAACACAACCATCCTGAAGAAAACAATGTTTATAGGAGATACAGCTTGTAAATAACCTCATTTTCATAACACATGAACATTTAATCAAGCAAACAAGGAAGAAAAAAAAAAAAAAAAAAAAAAAGGCGTGTAAAAGTGTCCAAAACTTTACTGAACAAGAAGATCTTAACAAGATTTAGAGATATTATAAACGACAAAAACAAATTACCCTGAAAGTAAAAACACACATTTAGGGAAATGTAGTTTCAAATTAACATTTATTGAATAGTAAAAATAGAACTGTGCACATGTTTTGCAGACAAAGAAAGTAAACAACTTTCTAAGATGGAGAATTTTTTTTGTAATTCATCAAGATCAAAAAACTGAGACAAGAGATAGCAGAGCATGTCCAGTTTTCAAGTCAAAATCTTTGAGTGAAGGTGGGAGAAAAATGAGAAGGCTAAAATTAATTCCTAAATATAGCAAATCATGTCAGGTTTTCCTTTTGGGAGCACGAAAGAGAGGATAACCAGTTTCAGACTTTGGGATTAAACACAGAGATTAACTTAGATTACAGAAATAAAATCTATAAAGATTAGTATTGAAGGCCGTATTTCTACAATATGAAGCACTTTCAGATATACTAAAAACAGGTAAAAACAGCAAGAATCAGTCTGTAGCATAGTTATACTAACTTAATTGTTATACAACAGGGTAAAAGTGAAAATTACTCTGGTTGTATTGCTATGGCAAATTTTGAATACAGCTTCCATTATAGCTATCTTTTTTCCAGTGTATAATGAAATTAACAGTTTATAGCAAGTTATAATCATGAACAGGGTAATTTTTGGCAGGGTGACATTTTTGGAACTGATGAAAAATTAAGGAAACTATCATTCTGAAGTACAAATAGATGAAAGCCATTGAATTATGCTTTTACAATAAAAATTCTGATATTGAAAAAAAGGAAGAGGATAGTTTCTGGGACATTGTCAACAGGAAACATTGCAAGTCTATCATTCAAATAAATCATAATTGGAAAATTAAGGTTTTTTTGGTTTTAATTTCTGGAATGAGGACTTATAATCCTATTATAATTGTGCTTTTCTCTCTCTTCATTAGTCTGCACGACCATTACACCCTGCCAATACCATATAAATAATGGACTGTTCAGTTTTGATTTCATAGAAAAAGGGGAAAAGATTTATCATAGGTACTACTCTAGGTAAGATAGAATTGTTTCAGTGAAATGGAAAAAATTACCAATTTCAAATCTTTTCATTTGTACCTCCTTACTTCTTAAATGACCAGCATTCATATTTATGATTGTTATTGCAATGTTTTCTTAAAGTTGAAATATTTAACAATGTGATAAGGGAATTTCTACTGATGTTTTATCGTCATAGAACATACCATGAGCTTATTCAATCATTAACTGAATAATTAAGATTCATCAGAAAATTCAAATAGGAAAACCATGGAATTTTCATGACTTTCTAGTTTACATTATTTACATTTGGATTATTGCCCTCATTTTTGTTGTTATCACAATGTTTTAGCCATTATACAGTCTTAGTGGAAACAGGGCAAACAATAACTGAGCAGTACTAAATAAGAACAAGACATGATATCTCTAGACATAGACAGTGAAATGAGAACAATCTACCCTTGTAAATTAAATAAAGTGTTCATTTGAAATTCTTGGAAGATTACCTGGATCAACATGCACCTGGAGAGAGCACAATGCCTAAAACATTGCAATAACAAGGACAATAGTTTGTTGTAAATAATGAACATTTTATTTGAAATTATTAAAATGTTTGACAAAAATAAGTACAGAAGTCAAGAAGTTAAAAAAATAAATAAAAAGACCACTTTAAGTTCAGCTATGGAAAGTAGAAATGACTGAAGTAGAAACTATTTTACTTGTTCCACCTTGGCGTTATGATGTATGAATGATATACCAACCAATGGGAAAATACTCAGGAGCCCATTGTTCATATAATCTCAGGTGTGAAAAGCAGGAATTGTTTTCCAAAGTTAATAGTGAAAAAGATGCTAATAGTTTCACATAAGATTTTATGAACATGACATTACCCAAACAAGAATCCTGTTGAAACTTGTTCTTAAATAGATTTTAAGGGTATTACATAAACTTAAGGCATTCTAGAAAAGCAATAATACGCAGCTTTCAAATAATGCTAGGGTTCAGTAAGCATTAACTGAGAATGGCAAGGTGAACTACACTTTATATTTAAGAACAGAATTATTAATCTATTAAAAAATATATCTAGACATTTCAGGAGGTACCTCTTTTCTTACAAGAGCAAAGGTTGTGGAAAATTCCATTTTTATTCCTTTGTACTAGTTTAAAGTATAATTTTCATCATTATAATGTTTATAAAATAGACCTTACTAACCTAATGGTGACATGCTGTCCAGTATTCTATGGCATCACAAGAAGTTACCTTAATACATCTCCTATGTTATGTTCTTTCAGGACATGGATGATTATAGCTCTCCACAATTTCCTCTCTTTTGTTGCTTCTGAGTAACTTTTGACTCATTACCATACCACTTTTGTCATCCATTCACAAACTCATTAAGTAGGTTACTTGTCACTGTCCCCAACTGTCACTTCTTTCGCCGTCAATGTCCTGTAAATTCTCAAGGTCTTCCTCTTTATGCATCCCAGAAATGTCATCCGTCTTTAAGTATCAATTTCTTTACAGTTCCCATTTTCTTTAAAACTTCTTCACTGCTCACAACGGTATTCTCTGTATTAAACTGTAGAAATACATCAGTCATTTTAAGTTTCTTCAGTTGTAAGGAGATTGACCAGCATTCACTGCCACATAAGACATTAGATATTATATATCAGTTAAGCACTCATTTCACAGAGCATTTTCTGTTGCTTAGTTTCTGAAAGGCTTCTTTTACTACACTTATGAATCTTGAGATTTCTGTATCACACTATCATCTGTTACTATACTACCTATATAGTTAAAGTTCTGCACCTGCTTAATTTTGACATCCCTAATACATAGCTTACATCATGGGCTATCTCTTTTGTTGACAACCATGCATGCTATCTACTTAATGGTTAGTCCTTTAATCTAATTTTACTTTTTAGCCTTATCTCAAAGTTCTTTCAGCCTATCTTCAGATTCTGCCATCAACATGGTTTCATCTGTGTACATTACGTGGTTAGAATTATGTTCACTGATAATAAATCAATGTAGGACTTCTAGTTCTCTTCAGACTGTCTTGCTGTATAGGTTAAATAACCCTTGTTTTTACTCCTCTTTCTATTTTCAAAGAACTCATTCTCTATTGCTATCCAAGCTGTTGGTTCCAAGTAAAAGTTATGGAGTACTTGAATATCTTTCCTATATAAATAAAGCTTTTCTAGTATTTCATGTAGCTCTTCATGTCTACTACCTTCTAGCATGGACAATCTTTCTGTGGGGAACCATTTTTGTAACTAATATTTTCCTCAAATTTTAATAAGTTGAATAAATTTGTCCATCACCCCTTCCATACTTTTGCAGTTACAGTACAGAGCCTGACCTACTTACCAAGTGCAAACAGACAAACATTTTTAAGGTCAGAAGGATTCATTCCAGTTCCACTCCAGAGAAGGGAAGAAAACTCAACCTCCCCACCATCACATATTCTTTATTTAGCCACCTGATGGGAGGGTACAAATGTACTTTTCAGCAAAGTCTCTCTTTTAAAATTTTTTAATAAATAAATTTCACAATTGTTATTAAGGAAAGCTGAGCCCAACTCCATCTGGAAATGTGATATTAAATCATTTTAATGTGAGAAAATGTGCTTTTAACAGTGGGTACCCTTAGGAGTTGATGCACACACTGGTAATAACCTGGCAACATGCCTGTTTCTGGCCCACTGAACCTTTTCCTCAGCATGGAATGGCCTTTTTGTGTCCTTGAACTTGAAGCTTCTGTCCTAGTATATATCTTCTACCAAATTAAATAGGTACACAGAAAAATCCAGAATAAATGAACACTTAAGAAATTTTTTAAAAATAATGGTTTAAAAACATTTCCAACTAAACTTTTTCTTAGGGGATCAGCTCAATTTATAAATAAAAAGATAGATACTCACCTTGTAGAGTTTTTCCACATGTTTTTCAGAAAATGTTTTTATTTCTTCATACAAACGATCTGAATAGGATTCTGGCACAGCCACACACAAAGCATAGACATCAGTAAGAAGGTGTTAAGTTCACAATAACAGTTTACTTGTTGCTTCCTACAAGACTTTTGTAATATAAACTCCAAAACACCTCACAAAAAATTTTTTTTAGCAAATTACTCAGAGAAATGATTATTTTTTATTTTAAATGAATTTTCACCAACTAGAAGGAGAACTGATATAAACAGAGCAGGTTTAAACTATTTTGCATTTTTCTCTTCCCACAATGAAAAGGTACCTACCTATATAAAGTTCAAACCATTGATTAAAAAAAGTCAAAATAGGGTTCGAATTTCAATAACTCTCTAGACATGAAAATAGCTGTATTTCTATAACAAAAAATGTTTATATGTAAATTTATCTTTTTAAGATGTTTGTCGACATTTTAAGTGATTATTGGTTTAATATCAGTTTTTCTATAAATCCATTACAAAAAAATAAATTAAAAAATTTTGATATATTTGAAGAAAAGTTGCTAATCATATTCAGATTAAAGAATTTATCACCAGGAAAAAAATCAAAAAACTCTAGCCTCACACTCCAATAATATCTTTTCAACATATTTCCTAACATGGACTCTTTAAGATAATCACACTTAACTGGGGATATTCATTATTACTAGAATAAGACTATGCCTCAGTATGTCAAATTGTCCACTACCTCTCTAGATTTTATCTCCCTATATTATGAAAAGTAAGAAAATAGAATGCATATTTATTCTTCAAGTGCATATTTTAAGCTGCTTGTAACAGATTTTCATTTACAATCATGTTTAAAATGAAAAAACGGTAAGTGTGGAAGAGACAATATTTTATCCTGGAAGTGACAGCTTGGATAGTGTTTAATAATCAATAAGTATTGACTATGCTGCAATTACAAATTTAACAAACAGCTATATCATAAATGTGATATGTTCTTCAATGTACACACAGTTTATTTTTTTTTTTAATTCTTGTTATTCATAATCAAATATATAAATATTAGATTTTAAAAAGGAAAAAAAATTTTTAAATTTTATTCTCAGTTTTAATTATACAGGCTTTAAAGACTACCAGGACTAATATAAATGATTTTCATCAAATAATTTTTAACTAATATTACAAAATGATGTAGTATTAGAGTCATATGTGCTAGATACACAAATCTATATAAATGGATATAAATTAACTATGAGACCAATTAAGCTTACAGGAAAGATATACTAATTGATTCAGCCATTTAAAGAAATCTGAAGCCTTTCACTTAGTAATCAACCAATACGAAGACAATAAAATAAGTGTATGGTTGGAGAAAGAAATATAGAAAAAAGGCTAAATCACAAACACCTTAAAAAGGTTTGTTTTTTTGCACTTTATACTATCTCTTGATTGGTTGAGCTAGATCCATCAAGCAAATTTGCAGCATCCTGAACGAAAGCTGACCAAGCATAGTAGAGGTTGTATTCATTTGGTTATGCAAATTCATAGTAGGAGTTTCAGTGGGAATTTAGATTCACAAATGGTCCCCCTTTTTTTATGTACCATGTCCCTTCAGGACATAGGCAATCAGAGATTGCTAAAATTTCTTGTCCTTTGTAGCTCTTAATAAATTGTCTCTTTGTTAACTCTTCTAAACCATATTTCACCATCCATTTACTCAAATTCATTAAGTTACGTTACGTGTGGTTTCCCTCTGTCTCTCTTGCCTTCAATCTTTCCTGTGAGTATCAAATTTTCCAAGCCCTCTTTCCTCATTATATGCCTTAGAAATTTCAACTGCCTCTTCTTGATGTTAAGTGTTTCTTTTTTGTTTCCATTCTAAAAACACAGTTGTTGCTCCATGGTATCCTCAGCATCCACCTGTAGAACCACATTTCTGCTGCCTCAAGTCTTTTCATTCACTGCCATACAGGTGGACTGATATTACATAACAGTTCAGTACTCTTTTCTTTGTTTCTAATGTATATACACTTCAGGATAGTGCAATCTGAGCATTACATGGGCAAGTTAGCCCAACCCTCTCAGGCTGGGTTGAATTCAGAGTTTCCTTCTCCTAGACTGGTTGCCACCCAAGGCTACAAGAGCCACTGTCCTGCTATTTTACCCATAGCTGGGAGGAGAAGCAGCTGGAAGAGAGTTCCACAAGTGAGAAGTGTGAGAAAAGAAACTTAGCATTGAACTCCTGGTCACATCTAGACATTTCAACTGTAAAATGATGAGACTTTGCCAACAATCTAGTACTGTGTTTCAATTCATAGAGTCTTGGTAGAGGAGATTTCATCAGAACAATTACCATGACATTATGTATAAAAAAGGCACAGGGAAGTTACGTTATGGGAGGTGAGATTATTCTAAGCATGGATGAATGGTAGACTTGTAAATATGTGAGATAGATCCTTACATATTTAGTGTGGAACAATTTTCTTGTTGCTAACAAAAAGATTGTTCAAGACCAATTGACCACTGTAGTAAGTGGATGCTTCTAGCTATAAGCATGGTCTTGTGTAATACCTACAACTAGAAGAGGGGAATTAAAAGATTACTGCCCACCAAAAAAAAAAAAAAAAAAAAAAAAAATAACTATAGTCTCATTCCTCATCAGGTATAGAATTCCTAGTCATCTTCAGTAAAAGATATCATAGAACTAATTGCACAGATAGATAAGGTGTGACCATCTATAAGCAAAACAACAATAATAAAAAGGATATGAGAAGCGATCATTCCAAGTTGATCGAGCCACTTGTCCACAAGTGATGACTCCATGTACGGTCTGTAAGAGAATTTCCCAAGTAACTTCAAAATCAACCTTCCGAGGTTTCAAAGACATGATGAAGTTGTGGCTTGGTGGGCTAGAAACAGCACTGAAAATAAAATAAAAAGATAGCTAAATAGATAAAAGATAGCTAAATAGATAAAAGATAGCTAAATAGATAAAAGATAGCTAAATAGATAAAAGATAGCTAAATAGATAAAAGATAGCTAAATAGATAAAAGATAGCTAAATAGATAAAAGATAGCTAAATAGATAAAAGATAGCTAAAAATAAATAAATCTCAATAAAAATGTTAATAGAAATGAGAGGTTGGCAAAACTTGAATTAGAAACGGATCGGATACTTTGTTGGAAGCTCTCTAAATATTGTCTATAAAATTGAGAAAATGATCTCACATGACAAGTCAATTAGGTTATATGACCATTCTACTGCTTTGATAACACATGCACAGAAGTCACTCAAAAGTAATTAGAGTCATTTATATTGCAACTACGACAAAGTCATTCCTGCACCTCACCAAGATGCTGCTTACAAAAACTAGTTAGATACAATCAGGTATAGACTTTATATCCAGAATAATCTTCCAAACGAACTTCAAAATAGTTTTAGACAAATGAAAAAAGCAGTGCCTAAAACCTATAAAAAACCAGATTCATCTTTTTAAAGAGCAAACAGTCATGTTACACTAAATATTCAATATTTTCTTTTTTTTCTTCATATAAACTTATTGCAACTATATTACAGGTGGGAGAGGGGGAAAGAGCTAAAAAGTTACCATGTAAAAATATAAACTATTAGATATTTTGGATTGAAAAGTGATAATTTTTCAGAGTTGCAACTGTTTCAAGTTTAAAAAATTCTAAGAGGCAATCTACAGAAAAACGTTACCAAATCTTAACACTTTAATATAAGTAGTAATTCTAACAAAGATTTGTGCTGGCACCATTTAATCTTAATGAGAGAAATAGTCCAAGTTGCAGCCCCACTAAATTAAATTTGTGAATAGCTCATTAAAACTAGAAAATGTAAGACATTGATTTCACGATAGAGTGGATAGCAACAAACAAGGCTGGTATTACTATTAAATTCGAGTGCATATCAATTACTAAGATTTTTTTCCTTTTCATGTCTTATCAACTCTTAATCCACATACTGTAATCCATACAAGAACAAACTCTTCAGATTATACAATGTGGTCAACGATCAGCTTATCTGAAATGCAATGATTTTATTATGAATTAAAAAAAAAAAAAAAATGCTGATGACAATGTAAAGTACATAAGAATATTACCCACAAAGTATGAAGTTTTTTTTTCTCTGATGTTACAGTAGAATTCATAAAGCCCATTGTTTGCTACACTCAATATAGAAAAAATGCATTGTGTGTGTAAAAATTCTGCTAAAAATAAAATAAATCTGTAGAAAAGGTGTGTGTGTGTGTGTGTATGCATGAGGTAAAATTGTATCATGTGGATATATTAATAGAGTATCATCTGTGTAACTAAAATAAGAATTTTGTGGTAAAATATTTTTGAAAGGACCACTTTGTAGAAAATGGCCAGCTATTCGTTTCCGAGCACTCCCAGCAAATCCTAGTTGCAGACACCAGCTCAGATACATTTGTATTTGTTCAACACCCAGAGAGCCCAACCTGTAGCTTATACTGTAACTATGCTGAGTGAACCTTAGTTGCAGTTTCTGGCAGGGAACACATAATCTGGTATAATCAACAGTTTGAACACCAGTACATTTAAACTCTCAGTCATGATGACTTGTGACTTTGTGCTAGAACAATGATTGATACCATCAAAACGGTTCTGTCAACCCAATTTCATTCACAAGGCTTGGGTGAATTTGTGACATGATTTTCATACAACACTTTTCACACACTGCATAAATGCTACACTGATCCTAGTTAGAAGATAGAAATCATTTTGGAACTGAATTTCACAAACGCACCAGGTTTGTTATGGACAAGAATTTTAAATTGGCAAGTTTGCAGGTAGACACTTTTCCAAAAATAATTTGGCAATTAAGATTGAAGTTATTAGTTTTAAATTGTTAGCTGTTTGCAAATAGGTATATCCTGCATTCAACTTCATTTTGTCGAGAGTTTATACACACACACACAAAACAAATTTAGAATTATTTTTAAAATACTGGGAGGTTGTTGAATTGTAGTAAGTTATCCATTTATAATTAATAAATACTTCAGACAGATATTTCAACATGAATTTTTTAATTTCCTTAATAAACAACATTTATAGCAAACATCATTGTTACACCATTACAGATCAAGGGAGATTAAAGGAAAAAAAAAAAAATCCAGCGTCAAGCAATTTACTTTCATATATACCGTCTAAGATTTAAGACCATTTTGGTAAAAAAAAGATTCCAACAAACCTGCATGTAAAGGTGTGACCAACAAATTATTTTAGTAGTAATGGTTGCAAAGCAATGGCCCAATCACAGCCACTCTTAATTATAGTTCACAGGAAAAGTAGAATGAACTCTGAAAGAAAACAAAATCTAGTTAAATCAGTGTTGACAGTTTTTGACAATTTAAAATCCAGACATTTTAACTAAAAAGGAGGAAAAATAAAAAAAATGTTACATCTCAATGTTATAAAGGAAGAATAAAAATGTTAAAAAAAAAAAAAAAAAAAAAAAAAAAACTATTTTTTTTTATAAACAGTTATCAATGAATAACCCAATCAAAATTATTTTCTTTGAAACTTAACTCTTAGGTGCAAAGTGCAATTTTTAATAATAAAAATAAAACTGATATACAGGAGACAATAAATAAAAGTAAAGAGAACTAAATATGTCATGTACAGCATAAGTTTTTCAATGATATTAGCAATTGTCAAGTAATCTCAATCTCAAACAATAGAAATTGTGAGGTACTACATCTTCTAACCAGGAATTATATAATATACATTATGTACAAGACAATGGGCCGAGTCAATTTAATGAAAGTTATCAGTCTACAAGACAGAAAGGGAACTGAAAGATGAACAAAATGGATTCATGCTTCTCAAAGTAGAGTCTAGCATGAAAAAAACACCAGTTATCAGATTTCAAATAAAAGAATACAGTAAACTAATTTGGTATTTATTAAATATAGTATGACAAAGTCAAAAGCATAGGAGTCACTCATTATGAAATCAACTACCTACTAATGATTTGCAAATTCATTAAAGTGATGAGGTGCTCTAAAATTATATATATATATTAGATTAGGGACAACTAAATGGTTTCTGTGAATGTGGAACAAAAGTGGTCAAGTGCTTGACAAACAAAGTAGCTAAATAAATATAAGAAAGAATCAAGTTCAAAATTCTCATAGAGAATCATAATGATTTAAAAGGACAGTATTCAGAAAATCTCAGATAGGACTTAATTGTGGCTTTTGTGGAATGATTTTAGGTCTTGCTTTACAGAAAGTAACATGAAAGTAACATGAAATTAGAAAAAAAATAGTCACTTAGCCTGTTCTTTATTTTAATATACTTTTAATAATATACTAAAAGCCAAAATATTACTAATAGTTAAAATAAATTAGTATATGGTAGGCACCTTCACAACTTTGGTAAAAATTTCACAAAAAGCCCAAAAAAAAAAAAAAAAAAAATTTTATCACAAATATTTTGGTGTTATTATTAAGATAAAAGATCAAAGGATTTTTTGAAGCAAAAATTCTTTTTTTTTTTTTAAATCATTTTACCCCAACCAAGGCAGGAATGTCACTAGGGGGTTACAGAGAGTGAAGGAGAGAGAAAAGACTGGGTACAGAAGGGACTGAAGAAAGGATAAAAGCTTAACAGGTTTCAAGAAGATGGAAGATGGTGATTAATGTAACATTTAAATTTTTGAAGATTGTAGTTATCAGGGAAGCAAGGAAACAGATGGGAATTCCACAGGCAGGAAGTGCAAGAAAAGAAACTGTTGGAGTAGAAGTGATGGTTAGATTTACCTGATTCAACAGTAAAATGGTGGGACCTATATGCTGATCTCATAGCACACTTAAACACATGTAGTTCGGGCAGCAGGGAAAAAAAACTTCTCAGAGCAGTAGCTATGAAAATATTTGTAGAAAAGACAGAGGGAAGTCATGTCACATTGGTGAGAAAGTGACTGAAGTTGATATGCCAAGTCAGGTTTATTTACATTGCAGATCCTTCTTTGGATTTTGTCAAGAACCTCTAGATGAGTAGCAGGAGTACCTGACCAGATATGGCAACAGTATTCCATGAACAGACAATTGGTAGATTTCTAAATGTACAAGATGGACTGACAAGAAAAACCTACTGGCATGACAGTGACCCAACTTTCCTTGCAGTAGATCCAGTTATTTTATCCTTTTTAAAACTTTGAAAATTGTTTTTGGGGCATCAACATGGGACCTTCAATTTGTACAGGAAATTTGAGCATCTTTTTTTTTTCCAGTGAAAAACACAAATTTGAAAGTTCTTATAAAATTCAGATAATTGTTGAATTTTATTTTTAATGAAATTTCCAAGAATTATTCAGAAATTAATTTTTTTTTGTTCCTCCTTCCCCTCCATCTATTGTTTTATGAAATTTCCAGAAATTCTTTTTTGTATTACTTAATGATTATATTTGTTATAAGGTCAAGTACTTGGAGAATTTAAATCATCAAATGGTCTTTATCAAACATGACCTCCAATTGTAGAAAATATGCCCAGAGTTGTAAAATGAAAAATGCAATAAAACTAAAACATTATTTGATTAGAAAAAAGCTTTTAATCTCTCTTATGAATAAAACATATTAAAGAATGTAAAAAGACTCAAATACAAATCAATGATGCAGATAGAAATATTTTATTTAAACCATATATTAAAAACAAAAGAACTTATCCTGTAATAGACTTTATCAAAGCAAATGTAAGGATTTTATTTTGCAATAATATTTAAATCTGAAAAACTAGAAAAATTTTTACTTCTGTGTATAATTTTGTTAGTTTTTCAGATTTAAAAATTATTATTTATACTTTGTTTGAAAAATTAAAGTTATGTATCATATATTTTAC